CAGTCGCTGTGGGGAGAGGGATCTGGGCCACAGTGCTCGGATTGTGATGCTGCTGTGCTTCCTCCTGCCATCGCTTCAGGTAGAAATGTGTACACTCAACTGTACTTACTGACAACTGGATACCAAGGAATTGATCCCATTTACACAAGCCATTTATATGAAATTCCGATGCGATATAACAATCATTTAGCCACATTGTAGATTGTAACATATATGCCAATTAGGGTAAGCCCTACTTCAGTTCAGAGGGAGGTCATTCAAGTTAATAGTAGTAATAATAGTTTGAAATAGAAATATATATATAATGAAAACGGTTGCTAATAAGACACTAAATGAGACTACAAAACGCCATAAAGCGGAACATTAGCCACCCTTTATCTTACCCACGTCGATGTGAAGTCATGTGACGGTGATGTATGTCAGCTATTCTTTTCTGGACATTTTCTTAAACGTTTGCTCCAGATCTTATTTTCTGGAACATACCATGAGCTAATGGACAAATCCCACTGCTTTTTACATACATTCTTTGAATCCTCTTCTGAATCACCTCTGGTGGTAGAGTAGCACGCCCACTTCCTTCCTGTTGCTTCAATATGAGAAACAAACAACACAGATAATGAGATGCGTATCTTCTGTCACAGGTACTGTACTGCTTTTGTTCCGAGCTCATGAGGTGATTCTTTCAAGGGTTGCTGGCAGGGTTGTTGATCGTGACTGGTTTAGCATATGCAACATCACGTCAATACCAGGAGGATGACAGTGAACACAACCTCCGATTCAGGTAGCAGCTGCTTCTGAGAATCAACAAAAAATATGCATAGAGTGGATTCAATTCTGGGGAAAAAACTGCTTGATGCTCTTGACCCTGTTTCAAAACCCCATCTGGTCTGCACCAGCTCCGGCGGGTAACAGGTTGTTGACTTCCTGCAGCGGTATAAGTGGCTACTTCAGAACGCTTATTGACATAGTTACTCTTGGGAGGATTAGTTGCGTGCAGAGAATAAACAGAGGTCCTTCATGTACTTGAAAAGAGGCGATAGCCGTGGTACTGACGTCGAGGGCTCCAGCTGAAATCACAGAGATGGATGCATTTACACGTCTCCTACACCATCTTCTCGGAGGCATTCATTCTCGTCCTCTCAGGTATGCTAATGGAACATAAAGAAGTTAAGGGTACTGTGGATAGTTTCAGTCTACATCTAGGCTGGTCCATTCTGCTTTAAAAGTAATTTCCCCAATTTTGAAACTGGTGAACCATTCGTCTGTTTTCATCTATTTTGATACACGGATTGGAAGCAGATTAAAGGGTCGTTTCACTAGCACGTTGGGTAATTACCCGTTTTAATTGCTCCCAATCAAGGGAATTAGCAAAAGCCCTCCGTTGTGCACCCGGTGTTTCTGCCATCATTGTTCCACATCCTCCAGTTTCAGGCTTAGTGACATCATAGAAGTCAATTAGGGTTTAAAGAGTCTCGCAGAGGCCTCTTTGTTCTACCTGAGTATTAGAGTTGAGACGAAGAAAGGTTCCTCAGGGTTTTTCTGAGGCTTGGCTTCTTGTAGAGCTGTACGAATGTTTCCTTTATTCACACAAGTGCTGTTTCCAACCACAAAGCCAAGGCTGGCTTTTAAGCGAAGAATTCATTCACAGATGTTGATGAAAGAGGGAACAAAGAAGCACTTAAAATACGGGTTAAAGAGCAATTTGCAGAATGCATGAATGGTTATATGAAATAAAGGCTCAATATTTAGGCTCTCAGATTTTGTATTGGCACTTCTAGACAAAATAAATACTTGCTTTATCGACAGCCTTTGAGTTATTCAGCCTGTGGCACATGGCATGAATGCTGCAGCAACAGGAAGTGTGTTACAGTTAGTCATGGATTTGTGAGCCTGGTTATGGGGTTTATTTTAGACGGTATGGAAATCAAATTCTGTTATACACATTGTAACAATCAGCTTATATTTTAAGCCTAGTTACCATTGAAAAAAGGTAGGGAGCTTTTTCTGCAACCTTTTTGACCAAAAGAGCCATTTTGCTCCTTTTTCCCAAAACATTTTTTGTCTGGAGCCGCAAAACATATTTCATAGCTTGATAGCTTATAAAGTTATATTCATT